TAAAATTGATGATATACACTGATTACTATACGGTGTGGGTCTGACTGCCTCCGTGGCCGAACGGTTACCATGACTGCCACGCAGAGGTCCCAGGTTCGATTCCCGGGCCGGGAGAAATATTTATATGGCCTACATTTATTTCTCTCGTGAGTTTGAGTGTAATTTGTGGTTGTCTATGTGTGTGTCCATAGCACCCGCGACACAGGGTCTCCCTAGTGCGGGGCTATGTTGAGTTGTGCGTTATTATTATTATTATTATGTGACACGACACGATTCCTAAAAATTTTCACGATAGAAAAAAAACACAAACTTACCTCGAAATTTTACAAGAAACCCGCTGTATTATAATATGATTTTTTTATTTCAACTGAACTTAATAGAACACGTATACTTTTTCTAATGGCTCTAATTTCGTTTGAAAAAGAATAAATTCTGCAGTCGAGTGTAGGCAAATTGATTAGACGAGTTTCGTGGAGCTGCCCACACTTTGGCCGCTGTCAGTTTTCATTGTGCACTGAAATAATATGGACGACGCCGACACGTAGAAGTTATTGCAGCTGCTGCAGTTTATTTAATGAGCGCCTATATTTATTAAATCAATGTATACCGTAATAAAGTTCTGAAAAAAAAGACAAAAATAAGGTGCGGAGAATTCACAAAAATAGAACATGGTAAGATGAACATAGAAGAAGGTCTTCGGATTTCCAAATAATGGGTTCATTTTGATAAAACTGAGCAACATTTTGCACGTATTACCGCGACTGACGCCAACAGAGTATTGGCATCGAGCGAAGGCAAGGCAAGGCAAATAGGCTGTCTACACGTTGCTATTGGCCTTTACTCGCCGAGCCTCGGCCAACATGTATTGCGGGCTTTATAAATACACGGAATTACACCCGCCGTGCTCCCAACCCGACACGCGCCCGACCCGCACCCGCTCTCAGACTGTTTCACGCTTACTAGTCATGGAACAAAAGTTGTTGTTTGCATGATGTTAGTAATAAAGTCCTGCGAGATTGTCAACATTTTAAAAATAATCCTGTATAATGAGAAATACACGGCGCGCGGCGAAAGGGCACACATACAAGCCGCTACGTTTGTAAGGTGTTACACAATTTGTCTTATTACTATAGGTTGTGACTTTAGCTGAATGAGATCCTTTTGTATATGCCACAGCCGCACACTTGTCAGTAACTTACAAACTTGTTGTTTAAAAGTTTTTTACGCTGTTTTTTTATGTTATTTCTGTTTTATTTACATTTTTTTTGTGCGTGTCAGTTTTATAATGTGGCATTGCAATAAATGGTTTCTATTTCTATGTCTATAATTGTAATGCTATACTCTGTCCAACCATTTATGAAACTTTTGACATAATGCATGCTTCCGAAGGTCAAAAAATGCAAAAATTTCCGTCACGCTTTTATTTTTTATTTTAGTGAAACGAACGTGCTCTTTAGCTCCGATGTTTATCGAGCCAACAGATTGTGTTAACAAAAATTGTTCAAGTTGATAAATTTTGGCACCTGTCTAATAAATTATAATGAAATGAAACAAATTATAAATAATAGTAACCAATTTTTGTTGTTTATTGTAATGAATAGTCGGCTTTTTCTCCATATGAACGGGAATCATCACTTGGATCCTCAATAAAATTAATTCTTGAGCACACAAATTGTCAAACGCAACACCACGATCCCAATCAGACAATATCTTTTTGTTTTTGAACCCGCTCACATTCACGATTAAAACTTCTTCATAAATAAAATCGATTGTTATAAAAAATCGAATCGGAAACGCATTAGGACATCACTAGTTGATAAGAATTCGAGCTGTCAAAAGTTAAATAACTTGTTGGACGGAGTATAACCACAGTATAACAGTAGGTACCTATCCAATGTAATATTAAAGAGTTGTTTATTGCGCAAATTGATTGTATTAAAACCTAGAATACGTATTCATATACTTCTTACTATGTATATAAGTAGATAAGGATTATCCAAAACGGCCCTTCCATAACTGGACATTTCGTAGATGAAACTCTAAATTGTGGAATTGAGAAAACATAATTTCAAAAAAAATTTAATGGATATTTCAGATTCATATCAGTTCCGAATTGGACGAACAAGTCCTGCCCCTGGTGGTAACAGCTGTTGCATAACAGTCGTAGTGCCTCTCAGAGTTTTAAATTGCAAAGACCTTAGGGGCGCTCCGACTGCGCCCGTCACCCTGATACATAAGTTGACAAGTCCCACGTGTCTGTGTTCAAATTACAACATTTCACCAACACCCTTACCCTTCGAAACCGGAACGCAGTAAAGCTCACATTACTGCTTAGCAGCAGAAATAGGTAAGGTGTCAGCACTTCCCTGCAGCTTGATTTTGATTGCCTCTCCCGATCGGAACCTGCGTCTTTTCCGAGTCGAGGCGCATAATTGCCGATAAAGGCCGATCGGAAACTTTTGACATTTCAAATCAGAACATTAGTTGATTTCACCCACAAATTAGAAAGATATAGTAGGAATCAGGTTCATCTTCCCGCTCAGAAATCCGTCTGATTTCGAGACTACCCGATCGGGCCGATTCCGTTTTGAATCAAAATCAGGACGCTAGACACTCTTTCACAATGTGCTCTACTGTTACTTAATTATGCAATAAACCAATTATAAGCATTTTACTAATTGGACTGTGTTTTATTTTTACTTCAATGAATCAAGTAGGTAATTTTGTTTTTTTAACTGTTTTAATCGGAGAATAAAATGCTATTGCCAAGAATTTAAGCATAGAGTACATAACCAGAAATAAAGGCGAAATAAGGGTCATCCATCCCTGGCAACTCATCAAGCAAATGGGCCTTATATCACTTTTAAATTTTAATATCAACTCTCGTTTGCGCTTAATGACAAAGCGCAGTTGTGACCGTAATGATTTGGCAGAATAGTTTTCAAACAAATCAAATGATATTTCATCTCTATTTCTGGTTATGTACTCGACTAATCGTAAACCAATCTATACACAGGTTGTAAATACACTAAGGTGTTCCACGGCTATGCGATTAATTGAGATTTTATTCTAACAGCAAGTATACCCGCCCGGGTTTTCGGGTTTTAACAGATCCTGCCCAAATTCGTGGGCGAAAACGGTGAATACGGAATTTGATATAATTCCACACTTATTACAAATTTCGATGCAAAAAATAATTTTTCGATGAAAAAGAAGCAACTCCAACTCCACACAATATACCCGCGTTGCAATTCTACTACTATAGTCCATTTGTTTAGGTACTTAACTAAATGTAAACAATCTTGAGATATCTATGTAAAGAAATATACATTTATAAAATGATTTTTACTTACCCTCCAATACAAATACTTAGCTTGTAAAGCCTATTTTCATACCCCATCGAGTATATAACCAGAAATAGAGACGAAATAACGGCCATATATTCCTTGTAACACATTAGCGATACAGCTCTTATAAATATCAACTCTCGTTAGCACTGAAATATAGACGGGCCAACTACTGACCTGTGCGTACGTCTCCGTATATTCCAAAAAATATTCTGTATTTATTGTAAGAAAGATAATATCTGTAACAATACCGTGCTGTTCTATTCGGTGGTGTGGGAAAAACAGCAAAACATCTAATTACAAAACAAACGAAATCACATTTCATCGGTAATTAAATATTAAATATGTAATTTAGCAATTTTCGTCCATTATAACAAAGTTCAAGTTAACTGGTCGATTTGAAGTGAAACAACTGACGACACCCGTCAATTGTTTCGAACTCGGGCTAACCAATCGGAGCGCAGTTGTCACAGTAATGATTTGGCAGAATAGTTTTCAAACAAATTAAATGACATTTCGTCTCTATTTCTGGTTATATACTCCATGTTGTACCCATACCTATTGACTTGTAAAGCATGTTTCAATAAAAAGACGTATCAAGATTGTTTACATTTACTTAAGTACCTAAACAAATGGACTATCTATGGAATGAAAATCGATTCAAGCGTATACGAAAACGGGTTGTTGTAACGATTTTCGATTTTCAAGCGAATCGATACTGTAAGACGAAATATTTGAACAAAACTCTATTTACAAATATTAAGTAGTAAATAGCCTTATAAATAGCTGTTGCTGACGTTTTCGGGCATTAACGAGATTTAACCCGATTATCAAAGCGCCGGGTTAAATCCCGGAAAATACTATAAGTACCACTAACAATGTCTCATATAATAATCCTATTGTCCACATATTTAGAGCTGATTACAACTTTTCTAAGGATTTGGACTTATTCTCCCATAGTCGCTATACTTATTTCAGTATTTGTAAGAAGCTGAATATGTTTGGATATTTAAGAATCTCATTGTTTTTATGTATGTACACATACATAGGTACATGAGTTTGTTTGCTGTTGTTTTTCAGTGCAATTTATTTATTATGTTCAATAGTCTGTTAATTTGCAGTACTTTTATTTATTTCGCAAATGCCGTGTGTGGCATCTTCACAGTTTGTATTCTGTAGCTATGCCAAAAATAAATAAATAAAATACAATAAAATAAAATAAAGTAAAACATTTAAACCTTTTCATACTTCATTAAATTATAGGATCTCTGGTTTAAGGCAAATGAATTTTATTATCATGTGTTCTACTGTCGGTATTCGTACTTCAAGGTGGGACTCCGGCTCATAACGGTCAGAGAATAATCCAGTCTCTTTGTGAGTTCCTCCGCGTCGCATAGCCGTAGAACATCCTGTGTAATATACTTCGCCTGCTTTAACCGTCTGTGAATGAAACCATCTTTCAATAAAAAGACCTCGAGATAAGTAAATTTTTACATTTAAATTTTGAAACACGTACTTAGTTGCATTTATTTCATGAAATAAATAAAAATAATATTTCAAAGAGTGCCCTTACGAAACAATACGTCATACAATTTGGAATATCTAAAAATTTAAATTTTTTTTCATCAACAGGGCCCGAAGAAACTAAACGCCAGGGAGTACTTACCAGTATCTGGGAGATGACGCTATCAGAGAGAAAAAATGCAGCATACATTTTGGAACATACAACTGCTCTGCCATTCACATATTGCAGATATTACTACAAGTGTTTCTTTTGCAAACAACAATTCACTGAAATACATAATTTGTTACAACATTCTATAAGCCATAACACGCCAAAACACGACGAAATCCTAAAACATTTACTACCAAAAGGAAAACGAACCGTAAAAGTAGACATTTCAAATCTTAAATGTAAAATATGCGATAAACATTTCATAAATATAGACGAAATTCGATTACATTTAAAGTGTGAACATTTAATCTCATTTACCGATTCGGGTAATGGGATGGTGGCATACAATCTGAAATTAAAAAATGGACAATACGAGTGTCATATATGTGGTAAATTATTTCAAACTTTCATACTATTGAATCGCCATATGAATGTTCATTTTAGTAATGCAGTTTGTGAAACGTGTGGTGCGGGTTTTATGACTTACCAAAGGCTACTACAGCATAAAGAAATACATCAACCAGGGGGTTACCCTTGTAAACAATGCTCTAAAGTATATACAACAAATTCAAATCTAAAATATCACGTAGAAAAAGTCCATGAACGATCGACTAAGTCACGTTCGTTACGTTGTCCACACTGCTTAGAACGGTTTTCGGAACATTTCAGAAAGTTAAAGCATCTGAAAGAAGCTCACAATGTAATATTTACGTTTACTTGCGAGGTATGCAAAGCTAGTTTTCCAAGTCGTAGAACTCTAACTATGCATACAAATAAATATCATACCCAAAAAACTCAATGCGAGGTATGTAAAAAGAGCTTCAGTTGTATAACTACGCTTAAAAAACACATGGTATGTCATACCGGTGAAAGAAACTACATTTGCTCGTTATGCCAAAAATCTTACCGACATCAAAAGAGTTTAAAGCAACATATGAATTCACACGCTCAAAACAATTTGACAGAATTTCATGTGAATTGTGATGAATGCGGTAGTTCGTTTAATAATAGAAATGATTTTAACGTACACGTTAAGGAATGGCATCCGAGAAGTTATTTCACTTTCCCTTTGTCTTGAACTTGTTATTTATTTATTTACTGGCTGGTGCCCGCGACATTGCGTGCGTTTAGTACTAATTAACTAGAATAAGATAAAGTTTTCAGAGTAAATTATTTCCAGATCGTGTCCAAACTCATTTTCCAATGAGTTTATTTATATTAGTCGTAAGGCCACATATGCAAAAAGTGTTCAATCATTTTTATTAAAGTACAATGGCAAACTCTCATATAAATTTTTGTTACATTATTTGTAAAATATGTTGAAATTCCTGAACAAATTTTGTTTTGGGTTTATTATTTTGAGAAGTCACGACTTAAAGATATTCCAGTTTGAAGTGTGATTATTTTCCTTTTAAAATACGATATCTCTGCTAGTGGTTCGAATTTATAAACATCTGTTATACTGTGTTTATGAATTTAAATAAAATATTTTTAGAGCACTCAGAAAAAATCCTAAATCCGGCCGGATTCGAACCGACGGACGTCTTCTAGCATATCGTGCCAGACGCTATACCAACCAAGGCACGAAACGAACCAGCGGACCTCGCGAATTTTTCTATGTGCTTGTTGTCGTGTCTTTGTATTTGGTTTTTCAACGACTTTTTAGTCGTATTTTATGTATTTTTGATTTTAGTGAACGCTTATGGAAATAACTAGTCTATAAGCTTATGTTTTAAGCGTGTTAAGTTGTGCTGATAACAAAATAAAGTTTTAAGTTAAACCCGAAAACATTTCTTTTTTTATGTCTTATAATAACTAACCACAGTGACTATCCGCAGAATTTGTATTTGCTCCTGCGCTCAAAAATAAATTCAATATAGTATATATCATGTTACTAGTCATTTTGCACTTCTCTCTCACATTTTGGGTCTTCTCTCGCCATAGTCCGCCCTCAAGGAGCATCCCTCAAGGTTCAATTCTAGGTCCATTTTTGTTTTCAATTTATATTAATGACTTACCTAGCGTCGCAGAGGGTATAGAACATGAGATGTTGCTTAAATTTGTATTGAATTAATATTCAATTATTTATTGTAAAATTACTCCACTAGTTTGTTATGATTATTTGGCATTTGCTTTTCGGAATTCGTAATTTTTTTAAATGAAATCTAATACGATCGCCACTTATAGGATCGTTGTCCAGCACAACTTATTCCTCCGGCAAACTCGTGTCAAAGCTCAATGCAAAACAAAGCAGTTTCAAATTGGCGATATATTAAGCAACATTTTTATTTTCGTTTTATTAAAACTTTAGCTACCCTTTGCAATACTAGTTATAAATCTGAAAACTTATCGATGCAACTCGCATTTCATAATATTTTTTTCGATAATGAATTGAGATTTGACCTCACTATTGTAATCTGTCAAAACGGCCATCATGGCGTGCCGGTGCGAGACTGAGAGATAGCCTCTGCAGTCCTCAGGTTAGTTCAGCTAAGGAATGGGATAGCCCTCAGCGATCCATCCCAAACCCCCATAGGTAACGCTGACAATTGAGATAGCCCCTGCAGCCCACTTTGATGCTAAGTATTGTTTTACAGTTACCTAAGAAACCTATGTATAAATATAACCTATAAATAAATAGCAAAGCCAGAATTACTTTTTCAATCAGCCACCCTACAGTACGAAATATCGAGAAAAAACAAAAATGCCAATTTGTACCTTAACTAATCTAGATAAACTCAACTTTGAATGGCTAAATTTGGCGGAAGTAGATGCCAGCCATCGGAGACTTCATTAAAAGTAAATGAAAGTTCCTTAGCAAGGAGCTTTGCTCGTGACCACCATGGACCAGCAGCTTGATTTTGATTGCCTCTCCCGATCGGGAACGGCCTTTTTTCCGAGTCGGAAACTTTTGACATTTCTAATCGGAACAATAGTCGATTTAACTCACAAATTAGAAAGATATAGTAGGAATCAGGTTCATCTTCTCGCTCGGAAACCAATCTGATTTCGAGACTACGGGTAGCCGGTATCGGTTCGACTCCTATTTGTATCAAAATCAGGACGAAGGTGAAATTCCAGGCACATGGGACTTGTCGACTTTGTCTCAATGCTCAAGTCAGGACTTGAGTATTGCAGTGAGCACTGAAAATCATACTCAAGTCCTTGCCATTAGGGTCGTATTTCCAGTGCTTGTGTTTCCAGTGCAATCCTGACTTGAGCATTAAGTAGAGTTCTAGAATACGACCCTAAGATTCCGATCATAGATTTAGTTGTTATACTAAAACTATGATTCCAATTGATATTTAAAATTTGCCATTCACGACGGTTTAAAACAATAGTGAAACAAAAACTTTACATAGGTTTATTATACAGCTTCTATGTACTTTGATGACAAAAATCTGCGGTAGTGATCCGTTTTGTTCTTGCAGGGTAGTCCCGAACGATATCTCATCATCTTCTCACTCGGAAACCCATCTGATTTCGAGACTACTCGATCGGTTCGATTCCGTTTTGAATCAAAATCAGCATGCTGGAGTTTCCACAACGAAAGGCACGAAGTTGTAGAGTTATTCCGGTCTGATTGAAACCGACGTCTTCTAGGAAACAGTGCCAGACGCTAACTAAAAATAAGCCACGCAACGAACCGGCGGACCTTACGAATGCTTCATTTGTGCGTTGCAGTTTTTGGCTTTAACGACTTTTTATGCCGTAGCGCCATCTGAGAGAAACTTATTTTACCGTTAGAGCTACCATCTCTGGCCACAGAGGTCGCTTTAATCATTGTAATTTTCAAGTTTTTATAATTTTAATTAAAAAAATGTTTATTGAAAGTGTAAGAAATTATTTTTCCTTTTGCAGGTGGGAAAGAGACGAGCATATGGCAGATGACGGTATCAGAAAGAAGAAACGCAGCGACTTTCATAAAAAACACCACAGTGCGACCATTTACATTTATGGGCCATAGCTTTAAATGTTTTTACTGCCCACAATACTTTTCAGAAATGTCCCAGCTAATGGAGCACACTGAACAACACGTAATTCAAGATTTAAATGAAATTTTAGTTAAATATATTCCAAAAGGCAAAAGGACTTTGCAAGTCGACATTTCAAACCTTAAATGTAGACTTTGCAATGAAATAAATGTAAATTTAAATGAAATCCGTTTGCATTTAGAAAAAGAACACGGTGTGATATTTTGTAGTTCAACCAATGGAATGACAGAATATAAAATGACCTTGAAAAATAGTCTGTACGAATGTCATTTGTGTTGTGAAAAATTTCACAACTTCAGTCTTTTAAATTCACATATGAATTGTCATTACGGAAAAGTAATTTGCGAAAATTGCGGCGCAGGATTTTTAAACAAACATCTATTGATGAAACATAGAGAAAAACATTTAATTAATAAGTTTAAATGTAAAAACTGTGACAAAGTATTTGTAAAAAAAAGTCAATTAAAATACCACACTGAAATAATACACAAAGGGAAGCAGCGCGTTAAAATGAAACAATGTCCACATTGCAGTGAACATTTCAAAGAATATCATAGTAAAGTTAAGCATCTGAAAGAAATTCATGGCATTGCTAAGACTTTTTCATGTCATATATGTAAAAATTCATTTAACACTCGACGTGCGTTGACTGAACATATAAACAGGTTTCACACGGAGAAATTTAAATGTAATACGTGTTCTAAATGTTTTAGTATAGAGTCTAAATTAAAAGAGCATTTACGCAGCCATTCTAATGAAAGAAATTTCATATGTCCTGTATGTACGAACACTTACATGCATAAAATGACTTTGAAAAAACATATGAAAACACATAATAGTATTTTTAAGTTTTTGTGCTTTGAGTGCGGTTCTGGGTTTCACGGAAAAAATGAATTTGTGAAACATATGAAGCAATTGCATTCTAATTTTGATGATGTGAAATAAAAAATTAATGTCACATGGCTAGTTTTATTGTCTTTTATAGCTAGGCTACCTGCTAACTTGGGTAGGTTTTTAATATTTTCATACTGCAGGGCGATCAATGTGTGGATCACTTTTGCTCTACTTATTTGGATAAATAAAGATCTATTAGAAACAGTGGGCATAATATCGCACTTTTGGTGTAAAAGACCGCTTTTGGAGTAAATACTTACACTGTTTTTTTATAAGGAGTTTAAGTAGTTATTTGTTACGCAAGCGTGCAAAGTTGTTGTTGTTGCAAAAAGAGTACCCTGAACTTAGCGAGGGTTTCGAGGCACGAGACGCAAAACAACTTTGGCGCCGAGCGAAAAACAAATGTTCACCTCACTATGGCGATGAAAATGATGAAAGAATTAAATCTAACAAATCAGTTTTAATAAACAAATTTAGTTATCTTTGTCAATTTAATGTAAACAATAATAAATATAAAATATACCAACGGACCGGATTTATATTACATAAATAATCTACGACAAATGGCGTAGTTGAATGTGTCATTATGTTTTTTTAATAATCGAAAGAAAAAATTAGGTGTATCCACTACAGGCTTTCGTCAAGTTCGAATTTCAAAAAGTTTTTCCACACTAGCGTGGAAGAAACGCTTTTGCGCGCAGTTCTCTAATGTTCTTATTAGAAAATTTAGAAATTTATTAGTAAAGGCTTTCCCAGCTAGTGAGGTGAAAACTATTTTTTGGTGGAATTGAGCCGTCGAGTACATAACCAGAAATAGACGAAATAAGGGCAATCCCTGGCATCCGGGCAACTCGTTAGGCAAATAGGACTTATATCACTTTTAAATATCATCTCTCGTTTGCGCTGAAATAAAAAATTAGAAAACTGAAATAGTACAGCGCCAACAACTGACATGTGTGTACGTCTCCGTATATTCCAAAAATATTCTGAATTTATTGTAATAAATATAACATCTCTAAGAATGAGGGTTGCTCCATTCGGTAGTGTGGGAAAAACAGCAAAACATCTAATTACAAAACAAACGGAATCAAATTTCATCGGTAATTAAATATTGCAACTTTCGTCCATTATAGCAAAGCTCAAGTTAAACTGGTAGATTTGAAGTGAAACAATTAACGACACTCGCCAATTGTTTCGAATTCGCGCTGGCCAATCGGAGCGCAGTTGTCACAGTAATGATATGGCAGAATAGTTTTCAAACAAATTAAATGACATTTCGTCTCTATTTCTGGCTTAGACTATGGAAACTAAAGGACATGTTATGTTGACATATATAAATCAAAAACGTTATATGTATATGATGCACTTCGACGTTGAAAACATAAACATGTTATTGTCTTTGTTTAACTCTTTCGTCCATTATAGCAAAGCTCAAATTAACTGGCCGATTTGAAGTGAAACAATTGACGACACCTGTCAATTGTTTCGAACTCGGGCTAGCCAATCGGAGCGCAGTTGTTACAGTAATGATTTGGCAGAATAGTTTTCAAACAAATTAAATGACGTTTCGTCTCTATTTCTGGTCATATACTCTATGAATTGAGCATATAAATTTGAAAGTAAATAAATTCACGAGAAACTAACAAATCGCACCTTTTATATGGACGGTGTTCTGCATATGTGTTAATTGTCATCATTACATACATAAAGTTAAACAAAGTATGACATTTAGCAATGGGAGGCAGACAGGTAGGATTATTGACATCTTTAGATATAATAAAAAAAAGGACAAAATTGAGTAATAACAAAATTTATTTAAGTAACAGTAAAGATCTTAATTAAATATTTAAACTTAAGTAATAATATTGCTTGCTACGGTGGCAATATTACGCTGCCTTTCCGGCTCAGTGTTGCCGTTTAAGTCACAGTTTCTACCAAAACATTTATTTAAATGACAACACTGGATCAGGCATCCTGTCAAAAACACGAAACACAATGCTGACTTTTTTATCACGATCTTTTGTTTCTGGGTTATTAATAATGTTTTCTAATTGGTTCTAACATAGAACATGAAAAAACTTTAACGGAAAGTTGACATTTGTGTACCTTGAGGAAAAGTAAAAATTTTATTTTGGTTTTTTGCCAGTAGTTCCATGTTCTCAGTTCCACATGGAACAATTGTAACCTTAACATGTCATAATTATTTCCATTAGCTTCATTTTTTCTTCCTCATCACATCAGCTTCCGTAGCATGGCTACGCATAATAGTCGCGACGCGCGCGATAAAATTGAAGCGCGCGCTATTGGCTATCTACATTAGATCTGATTGAGACAGCCAATAGTGCGCGCTTTTTTAAATTTTATCGCGCGTGTCGCGACTCTCATGTGTAGCTATGCTACGGGGGCTGATGTTTAGAAGTTCATTAACCCCATTTCCAAGATGAACAATTATTTTTAAGAGTATTTAAAATTCTTCGGGTTATAGCGGAACATTATATTTCAAATCAATAGTATAATTCAACCAAAATTCTACAAATTGATGACAAAGAACTAGATATGTGTAGATTTGCGAGATTTTGTTAACATCACATGTAGCTACGTAAAGAGGCACCTATGTAAATACATCGAAATAGAGACGAGATAAGGGCCATCTATCCCTGGTAGCTCATCAGGCAAATGGGCCTTATATCGCTTTTAAATATCAACTCTCGTTTGCGCTGAAATCACAAATTAGAAAGCTGAAATAGTACAGCGCCAACAACTGACCTGTGTGTACGTCTCCGTATATCCCAAAAATATTGTGTTTATTGTAATAAAGATAATATCTCTAACAATGGGGGAGCTGTTACATTCGGTGGTGTGGGAAAACAGCTAAACGTCTAATTACAAAACAAACGGAATCACATTTCATCGGTAACTGAATACGTAAATTTGGAAGTTACAACGGTATTTTTTTTGTTAAACAAGTCAATTGTTTCGAATTCGGGCAGGCCAATCGGAGCGCAGTTGTCACCGTAATGATTTGCCAGAATGGTTTTCAAACGTTTCGCCTCTATTTCTGGTTATACATATAGTCGATGTGTAAATACCACTGTGACAGTCACAAAAGCACAGTTTCAAAGGTTACTCGGCAGCTTGATTTTGATTGCTTCTCCGATCCGGCCGATCGGAAATTTTTGACATTTCTAATCGGAACAATAGTAGATTTAACTCACAAATTAGAAAGGCATAGTAGGAATCATGAGCCTTACTATGAACTCTTATTACAGTTCAGTATAGGTTCGTAAAGACACAAAAGCGGGATGGTGATATACACTTCATGTAGCGCTGTCTCACAACGATTCAATGGTCTTAAACGGAATCGTAATAAGAATTCATGGTAAGGCCCCAGGTACCCGATGGGATCGATTCCGGTTTGAGTCAAAATCAGGCCGCTGTTCTACATACTTGCTGCACAATTAAACGGAAAACAGAAACAGGGGGTCTACTCTCGTCTGTTGTCGGACATACGTTCGAAACAATTACAGTCAAATAAGTAATATTCGACTAAATTCAAAGACAATGTCAAGTATGAAGCTTCATTCGCATCATGCGTCTTTAAATTTAGTCGAGTAACTATTACTTTTTTTACAATATAAAGTGACGAGACGACCAAGTCGTGCGCCTGATGGTAAGCTACACGCCTGTCCACAACACTTGCAGTTCCACTCAGAGCTTTAAATCGCAAAGATCTGAAGGGCACTGCCGTCTGTCACCCTGATACGTAAGTTGACAAGTCTCATGTGCCTATAACTTCACCAGCTTTTTTGATAGTAATTGTTTCGGACGATGTCGGATGAAGTACAAGAGTGCAGGGCTTGAACCATTTTGAAAATTTGTTTCATAGTGTAATTAGAAGCAAGGGACAGCAAGACTAAAGCGAGAAAATAGAATATAAAGGGCACCGAGCAGCTTTTGCCTTATGTGATTGTTTTCTGTCAGTCAGGATGGCTCGAACAAACGAGGTACACAAATTAAACTGTGCTCATTACTTACTATCTCTTTTCTACTATTTAGTACCTTTATTGACATATTTTCTACCTTGAAGAAAAATTGAAGAAATAAAGTGGCCAGCCATTCTGACGTCAGTTTGGCTGGACCACTTTACGTTTTTCGTGGTTCTAGCAGTATATAATAAAAAAATTTTTAAGTAACTATTTAGTAGCTAATTTCTACCTAAACATACTTTTTTTTCATTATTTTAGGAAGCTTCTATAAAAAGTTTTTTTAAAAAAAAAACGACTGTGCAAATTCGATCTTCTAAAAAGATAGTTTAATTATACGGAGAAGATAAACTAGCGCAAAGGTAGAAAATATGTCTATCTCGTTCGTTTGGTCTCGACTTGTTATTTTGATAGATTTTTCTCTAACAATATTTAGTGACGGTACAATGAACACTACAACATGAAAAATTGACTCACGCCTTTTTATTTCGTCAATTAACTCACCGTAACGTGCTGATTATCGTCAACTCGTCATACGTCTCACGGATCACCTCCAAGGTCAATTCCGATTTACGCTACATTACGTTTCACAAATTATTTTATTTAAATGTAAATCTGTAACCTGTAAAGGGCCCGAAACGTTGGTTTGTTTGAAAAAACAAATATACGCGATTTAAATCCGGAAAAATAATTTCATTTCCTAATAATCATGTTTCTGTATGGAAAATATACTTATTTTTTTTATCTGGAAATGCAGGATGCTTTATGTGTGGCTTGGTTATGGTATAGTTCCAATAATTCTCTACAAAGAAAAATAATGCACCTGCCACTTGCACTTATACAACCAAAAAAAGAGGCGGAAAAATCTTGTTTTATAGTTTTTTATTTAACAATTTTTACATAATTGATGATGACATGATTTTAGGGTTATTTAAACAGTGTTATTTTTAAACAGGGTTATTTGTAAAATACTATAACCTTGTATAATATGATGATATAACTTTGCATGATGTAACCTATGATATAACCTTGCAGGAATATATTACTAACATCATAAACAACAACTTTTATTCCATGATGTTTTTAGAGCTTAAATCGCGCTCGTCACCCTGGGACATATCTTGAAAGCTTGTTCTCTCTAACAAAGTACAAACACAAAACTTACTGAATCGCTGATCCCCCTGGAACGATTAAATTTACTTAGCGGAACACTTAATGCTGGCGAAATTCTATAAGGGCACTGCCAATAATTATAAAGAATAATAGTAATAATGTATTTATTTTGTACTTTGTGACGGGACGAACAAGTCGTGTGGCTGGTGGTAAACCAGACACCTCTCCATAACAGTTGCAGAGTCACTCAGAGCTTCAAATTGTAAAGATCTCAGGGACACTGCATCTGCGCCGCCTCTGCGCCTGTCACCCTGATACGTAAGTTGATAAGTCAAGTTACTTTTTATCATCGTACAAAATTAAAAATGAAACTCTGTGCGATACGACGCAAAACGCAGGAGCGGAGGTCGGGGTCAAGGAGAACGCTTGCACGTTTGAACTTGCTAACTTACTACGAAATAGAGATTTAAAAGTACTACAAAAGCTTAGGCGATTATCACACTGTACCGCGCCCCGCGACGGAGCGCGGAGCTGAGTTTTTTAACCTTGTACTGAAGTACCTCAGCTTGTATGGAAAACACGCGCCGTCGAACACACTGACAACGCTTCTCCGTTTCCCGCGCGGAGAACCGCAGGGTATGGCACACTGCACTCCGCACTACCGCGCAGATTTTTAAGCTTACGGACATGATCAGTTTTCTACAATAGGACTCGACGTCGATAATTATATACGCTATTGAAAATCGGCCAAATTTATCTTCATATTTTCTTAAATGTTTGTAATGAGATTGAAATTATGCATTTATCGATCTGGTTCGTAAAAAGGGATATATCCAATATCTTCGTAGTCTTTTTATTTGAGTAAACAAAAACCAAATAGTATAAGTGCAGCGTCCTGAATAAGTTCTGTATTATTAACCATTCTTGTCAAAGAAGGATCTCGGCTACATATACAATCACTACGGCAATCAACTGCGAAGCGAGTACTTTAAGCGACGCGGGGCCGGTAGATCGCTGCCCCTGCGCAGATTAAACCGCGCGTTGACGCAGCTCCGTCGCGGGGCGAGGTGCAGTGTGATAATCGCCTTAAAGTCTATTTTTGGTAAATTTACTACGTTTTGTAAACATTCGAGAAACAAAAGTTGTATTTATGATGTTCAATGACCGGAAAAAGGTGACACGGTGACATAGAGTTGTTAAAACCACAAAAAGTATTAATTAATAACTTTTTCGAATTCGGAATTTCCTGAAAATAGTTTAACTGGATCGTATGACAAAACTACTGACGTAGGAAGTCGAAGGTGGATTTTAAAGTAATTCTAATAATGCCATGTAAAAAAATTCAGTCGATAACTGATCTTTTACCAAAGTAGAGAATAAAAAAGTAACGAGACATTCACACGCACTCACACGCACTCGGAATGGATAATGGCATTTTTTTATATGGCACCATTAGAATTACTATAAAATCCAACTTCGACTACTTAAAAAAGTAATTTTGTCCTACAAAACCATTTCCGGAAATCCGGAATTCCGAAAAGTAATTAATTAAGATTTGGTGGTTTTAATAACTGTATATATATATATCGACCCCTCCCACGTAAAGTATCGTATGTCAAAATTGCCAAGTTTATAGGGGAGCCTTTTAAAGTTCTGAATTCACAGAAATAAGCATAACACGTGACTTTAGATTTCTCACTTTTATTCGGCAAATCTCGTAACACACGTTGAGTATCATAAAATCCTAGATATCGGTTAGATGATCTATTAGATGATCACTCTATGTGAGTAACAAGCTTTGCCAAATGAAACTGAAACTTTAAAACACTCCCCTGTAAACTTGGCAATTTCGACATACGATACTTTACGTAGGAGGCGTCGAATGTATGTATGTGGAGCACCTTCTTCCGACCATTGATGATATTTTAGAAATAACCCTGTATATAACCATAAGTCGATTTGGTCGCATAGGCAATGGCATGCTTTGTTTACTATGGACAAATATTGAAAATAAAATAAATTCTAATTACATAAATAAGAAATAAAATTTACACATTTTTATAACTTAATATTAAAAAAAGAATTACATGTAAATAAAGATTAAAAATAAATTACTATCTTTTTATATAATTGCACAATTTATCTGCTTCCAAATTTAAAATTATTATTAATTATAATAAAATACAACCTACAATCACTGCGAGTTTTGTTTTTTTAAATTTCACATTCAGAAGAAACAATAGGCTATGTTATTAAATGTACCCATCAGTAAGCGCCTTAAGAAAAACAGTTTTAGAAACGGCAACACTGAGCCGGACTGTCTTTCGTCAGCTGTTTAAACGACTTCAAAAAAGGAGTAGGCTTTTTCGACTGGCTTTTTTTATGTGTATATACGCGATATTGATGATTCTTTTTTTTGGAAAGAGGGTACCTCAGTATTGGTTATATTTAAATTTTAAGAAAATATTCCAACTCTAAGGGCGGTAAACTAGGGGATAAATCCGGTTTCGCGCACTTTCCGTTGACCGATTTCAATAAAACTTGGCAAATAGATGTTATTCCACGAACTTTTGAGGTCGGTTTTATAGTACTCTGTACTAAAGATTATAGCTAATAAGAATTATCATTTGTTATGTCCTTACTGTGTGCATGTAACATTTTAAATGTATAATAAATTTTTAAAATCACCCAGCGCTTTTTTTTCTTAATTCGTGGCGTAAGGTTGTTTTTTTAATCGACTTCAAAAAAGCAGGAGGTTCTCAATTCGACCGTATGTTTTGTTTTGTATGTATGTTACGCGTACTGAATCGATTTATGATTCTTTTTATGTTGGAAAGAGGGTACCTCAGATGTGGTCCCATTTAAATTTGAAGAAAGTATTCCACCTCTAAGGGTGGCAAACTAGAGGATGAATGACTTTTGAGGTCAGTTTTTTAGTACTCTGTACTGTTTTTTTTTATTATACTATAAAAATAATTTTTTTTGCTCGTTATTTTATTAAATAAACGATATTTCAAATATAAAACAGCCTTATGTTGATATAAAAAACTGTTGGGTAATTTTCTGAGATTTAAAAAAAGCCGATAAACAATCTTTTGAGGTCGATTTTGTTTTTTAATAAAAAAGTTACAATTATTATTGACAATTTGTTTCTTCGATAAGCTAATTTAAAAAACAGAAACATGCCATTATTTCTGATTTTAAGTACCTAGTAAGTTCTACGGTTCCTTGGAAGATATACTCGTAATTATTCTATGTTCAGTGGAAGAAATCTTTTAATATCAATAGAATAAAATGAATCTACAATTTATAATATAGGCTGGCAAATAGAGCGTAAAAACGCCATAGCTCGTTAATTTATAATATAATTAATGCACCTGGACTCATCTAGAGACACTGTTGCAAATCTCATTGATAAAAAAATATATTTGAACTAGGATATCTAGGCATGTCTGCATTAATATAGCTTCGTGATAGACATGTAATGTAATGCATGAGATGTTACCGAGGTGATGGCATGTGATTTATAGACTTTCTGAGATGTTGGTACGTAATGTATTTACCTTCTGAGATGTTGGCATGTGATGTTTTACATCTCTGAGATGTTGGTATGTAATGTATTTCCCTTCTGAGATGTTGGCATGTGATGTTTTACATTTCTGAGATGTTGGTATGTAATGTATTACATTTTCGAGATGTTGGTAAGTGATATGTTACATTTCCGAGATGTTGGCCTGTCTTATGTATGGCATTATTTTTAAGTTAAGAAATGAACTGTACAAGTGTACTTACAATATTTTAATATTGGCACGGCGACTATACCGTATAACATACAACATACAATACTTATTTCCTCCTAAATAGATTGTAAAGGTTGCATAATACGGTCATCCAGTTCGACTTTTCTTTCATGTACCTTAAGATGTCCCTTTAAAGTGCATTTCTGCGTAAACGCCCTGCCACAGACTGGACAAATGAACCTTTTATCATTGTTATGTATTCTTAAGTGTTCTCTTAACGTTTTTTTCCTTTGATAAGACTTTTGGCATACATTACAGGTATGTATACGTTCGCCGTCGTGTTTTATCATATGCATTTTCAATGCATTACGTGTGTAAAAAGCGAGGTCACACTTGTCACACTTATGGTTCCGTTCATTCAAGTGATCTCTTCTAACGTGACTGGAGAGATGCCCTGGAGTTATATAACTCTGAGGGCATGCACTACACTTGTACCTTTTAAGTTCTTCATTATGAATTTCAGCTAAATGTTTCTGTCTGGCATAGAAGGAGGATAAACTTATATTGCATCTCTTGCAAACATATCTGACACCAGCCTTGTGTTCTTTGGACACATGATTTTCCCTTTTAGTTACCCTATCGAACACAGCGTCGCAATATTTACAAGGAAAATTCCCTATCTCGTGCGTTCTCATGTGACCACGCAAACGAGCTTTTGACGCGAAAGCTTTGCCGCAGCTTTCGCATATGAAATTAGGATAATGCGTGTTCATATGCGTGTTCAAATTGACAAAATTCAAAAAGGTCTTTTTGCAAACCGGACAATCTAATTGATCTTTCTCCAGCTTAAACGGTAAGTTGCTCCACGCACAGTGCTTGAGTCTGCTACAGTTATCGAGGTGTTGCTTTAATTCGTCGTAGTTTTTTACATCTGTCGTGCAGAGCCGACATCGTAGGACATTTTTCACTTTATAAAATCGTTGGGAATAGCTAGAGTAGGCCATTTTTTTGAACGCCATATGTATGTTAAAGTTACTATGGTCCTTAATATGCGTTTTGATGTCGTCCAGGTTGTTAGATTTTTCAGGGCACAGTGAACAAGAGAATGTGCGGTTTTTTCGAATCTTAAATGGGAACAGGCCTAGTTCTAACATTTTTTCCGTTTCAATATTGATGGACTCCTGTTTTGATTTTGTTTTTTTAATTTTTATTGTCAGATACTTCTTTCGTGGTCTTTTTTCCTCTGCGGGTTCCTTTTTGACTGCGATGTCTTTTAGAACTGAAAGTAAAAATACAACATCACATTTTAATAACATCAAGTGACGGGACGAAACGTCGTGCGCCTGATGGTAAGCTAAGCACCCTGAGACATAAGTTGATAAGTCCCATGTGCCTGCAATTTCACCAGCACCCTTACCCTTCAAAACCGGAACACAGTAATGCTGACATTACTGCTTGGCGGCTGAAATAGGTAAGGTGGCAGTACTACCTTGGACGAACTCATTCATAAGAAGCTCTACTGCTATTAAATTTATGCAGAAAAGGCATAATCGATGGAGATATCGTGAAGTGGATGTCGAGAAAAATAAATGGGAACAGGGTGGCCTAATACAGGCTGTGGACTTCACACATCTTCGAAAATTAATAATAATAACTTTATATCGAGTTCTTAGGTTTTCGCGATTGTTACACATAGGAAATGAAACTATTTTTCCGGATTTAAATGAAACAAAAACAAATATACGCGATTTAAATCCGAAAAAACAGTTTCATTTCCTACGAATAACTTTATAGTTATTAAATGATTAACACTAATTTCAGGTTCCCGATATTTCGGAAGGGTTGCACGCTCCATTGTCACGATGTGTCCCTTCATACGATCATACGAACACATCCGAGCAGTAAAAAACAACGATGCGCAGAAGTCGGCTATAGCACAACATCTCACACAGACTGACACTAACCACTGGATCGAGTTGCATAGCCCCCAGGTACTCTCGACAGAACGTCACTACATACCACGGTTGGTACGAAAAGCTATCGAGATCACAAAGTACAAAACATTTAACCGTGATGATGGTTTTAAACCCTTAGTGCGTGCAGTAATAAAAACAAAAACACCTCAAGTTCAGTTTCGCGTGTAGATACAGCATCGAGTATAATAATAATAATAATAATAATAACGCACACACTCAACATAGCCCCGCACTAGGGAAACCCTGTGTCGCGGGTGCCATGGACACACATAGACAACCACAAATTACACCCAAACTCACGAGAGAAATAAATGTAGGCCATACAAATATTTCTCCCGGCCCGGGAATCGAACCTGGGACCTCTGCGTGGCAGTCCGGCATGGTAACCGTTCGGCCACAGAGGCAGTTAAGGCAGAGTATACTCGATGGGATACAGTGAGTGTGGCTTGTGTGAAAAAAGTGAGTGACAATAGTAACGCCACAACAAATCGCGATGAAGGTAGTCGTCGACAGCGCAAGAGGGTAGACAGATATGTCTGCTCTTAAAGCTGTCATCTGCCGCCGTCCAGTCAACCCGTGACCATGGAGCGTGCAACCCGTTCCGAAATATCGGGAAAATAAAAAGAAGTCACAACGTGGTAACAAACCTGAAATTAGTGATAATCGTTTAGTGAATAACCACGAAAGTCTTAAAACCTTTATAATTTTAATACAAAGATATCGGACACTAAGAGAAATTCTTTCAGTCCTGCTGGGTTCGGATACGATATCGTTATCCAACAACGTTTACGGAGTCAGTCGGCGAATATAGATTATAAGAAAAATTAAATCCTTTTATACACATTTTTAAGGCTTTAAAGGCCTAAAATATAGGAATGCATTAGTCCACATTAAAATAAATTAATAAAATTGACCAAAATCCAGACTTTATTTAAAATAATAAAATATTTCCATATTACATTCTTGCTTTGTAAACAATAGGACGTTCGGTGACTTTCATTCGGTAACTGTGTTCTGAATAACGTTTGTAGCCTTTGCCAGTCGAGAAGTTCGAGTAATCGTACGGGTGTGACGTCACTTCGGTTCGGTTTCGAATACGACAGTTTGACGTTCGATTCCGGTGTTGTGAATAAAAATGAAAAGTAATCGTACGATATCTAATTGATTCGGTCGACAACAGAGTTATCGTAAGGTTCTGAATGGACCTGCAGGTGAGATTGAGGTCGTGTTGCATTAAAAAAAAATTGCACTCACAAACGTCATCCTCGTCATCAAAATCCGCTCCTTCAGGGAAGTCCTCGCTCAAGTCCTGGCCCAGTTCTGTCTTTACCTTTGGTGTTTCTTGTTCTGCAATAAAGAATCAATAAAATATTATGTTTACAAGATTCTATGAACGAAACTAGTCGATAACACTAAGAAATTCCTTCGCACCAGGACCCCGATTCAAAAATCTTCGATAATTTAATCGAATCGTTGGATTGGATATTTCTTCTTGCTTTGTAAATAATAGGACGTTTGTTAACTTTAATTCGATAACTGTGTTCTGAATAACGTTTGTAGCCTTTTCCGGTTGAGAAGTTCCAGTAATCTTATGTGACGTCATTCCGGTTAGGTTTCCAATACTAATAAAATGAAAAGAAATTGTACGATATCAAAATCGAATCGGTCGACAACTGAGATATCGTGAGGTTATGAATCGAACCCCAGGGAGTCTGCTCTCGTTCTCTCGTTCTGACAGAATAATTATTATTATTATTAGGGTGGGTTCATTCAGGGCCTATGCATCCCGTCATCACTGCGACCATTGACTGATCTATTGTGATCACTACTAATTACAGTACAGAGCCAAGGCCAACAGCATTGAAGACCTGAAGGACTTTCCTGGCTATGATAGATTTAATGTCCTCTGGTTGTGGCAAGTTCCTTCTCAGTATCACTGTGTATATTACTATAGTATAGTGTATAATTACTGTCAAATAAATAATACTCGATCAAATTCAAAGATAATGCCATGTGTGAAGCTCATCAAGTATATAATCAGAAACAGAGACGAAATGACATTTGGTTTGTTTGAAAACTCTTCTGCCATATCATTATCGTGCCAACTGCGCTCCGATTGGCCAGCCCGAATTCGAAACAGTTGACGGGTGTCGTCAATTGTGTCACTTCAAATCGACCAGTTTAACTTGATCTTTGCTATAATGGACGATGATTGGAAAATTACAAATTTAATATTCGATTATCGAGGCGATTCCGTTTGTTTTGTAATTAGAGATGTTTTGCTGTTTTTCTCATACCGCCGAATGGCACACCCCGTCATAGTTAGAGATACTATCTATATTACAATAAAAACAGAATATTTTTGGAATATACGGAAACATGCACACAGATCAGTTGTTGCTGCTGTACTATTTCAGCTTTCTAATTTGCGATTTCAGTGCAAACAAGAGTTGACATTTAAAAGTAATATAAGGCCCATTTGCCTGATGAGTTGCCAGGAATGGATGGCAAGCTTCATTCGCGTCATGCGTCTTTTCATTTGATCGAGTTTTACTTATTTGACAGTATTTGTTTCGGGCAGATCACACTGGGGTCCGTCCATACAAGCTAAAGCTCCGAATGTTAGAAGATTAAACATATCTTGTTCGGTCACTGACATAATGCATTTAAATCGATTTTAATATCAAACGTAAGAAGTAAATGTCTAAAGGTTGCACATAAACTCGCGTATTAATGAAACTATTGTTTTTCGGAATTATACGCACGCGGTTTAGATGCGTAAAAAAAAGGATTCTAATTTTCACGGAAGAAAAAAAGGAATAGTAGTTACTTAAGAGGGAGCAGAGGAAAAATTCCTATACTTCGATTTGATTTTAGAGGGGTATATCCACTTTAAAGTTAAAAATAAAATGTTGTATGAGTAACTACACGATATATTCAAGCATAGACACTAATCAGAACCAAAACAATAAAGTTTCCTCGATAGATAAAAATCACGAAATGACCTCTAATTTTCACATTTTTTCGATTCATCCTCGAAATGCTACAGGTTATTAGGACAAAAATTAGATAATTATATTTATGGATGATCGAAAACCGCTAATACGAATTTGGTACTTTTAATGCGCAAAATTCAACATCTCCTGTCGCATGTCACGCGAACTTCAGGCATATATTTGTCTCACAAATGTGGGCGGAGCCAACGTCAAAACTCTTTTGGCATGCTCCCTCTTAAGCTTCGATTACTTTCAGAGCCGCTGTGTTCGTAATCGCTATTCGCATCGCCTATCGCACGAAGGTGAAAACGCGGCATTACACTAATCTTTTGTTTCACGTGTCGCGCCGTAAAGAAATGTCTCTTTCGCACTCATTGAATTCGGTACTGAACTTTGTAAACAACTGCGGTTCATAGGAGCGCATCTCGAAGCGCTCAACTCAAGGGTCAGTATGCTGTACTGTATTAGAGAGTAAGATAAAAATCTAATTGTATGTTTGTCGTTCATTACTAAAAAAAACTACTGCGACTAATAATATAATTTGAAAGCTTAATTAATAATTTTATTTTGGTGGGTTGGATAGAAGTGGGAGTTCACTGCACCAGAGCTCCTTAGGACGAGCCGCCTCTGACAGAGAACCTGCTAAATTTTCGTTTTCACCTGACGCCCTATAGTTATTAATTTTAAGCTCTCGTCGAAATACCTGGCCTTAACTATAACTTACTTTGCAACTTAATGCTAGCTTCAAGCGTATGCAGTGAAGTCTCCACTTGTTTCCTAAACTGCGCGGTATCACGCAACTTGCCAATGCAGCCATCGCAGATCTGCCTTTTCATGTCACCAAGATCTAATAGGGTTATCTGCAAATTTTAAAGTTAACAATTAACCCAGTATTAAATTTAACTGTGTCTTTGAATCATATGATTCCAATCAAAGTAAACAATACTGGAAAAATAGTATGCTAAACCAAATGTTCACTCACTTTTGAGCTAATATTTTCAAATACAATTTTAAGATGTTACTCTAATGAATATTCTTTGAAAAAGTGGTGTGGTATCAAGTTGAAACCTTGTTACTGTGAGCCCCTTTGACAACCCACACTTGATGAGGACTACTTGGGACTGCAGAGAAAATGCCTGGTTGAGAATTCTTCCTGAACTTCTGATCGCGGTCAGATTTGGAATGCTGGCCTACTGCTAATGCTCCGTCTTTTATATTATTATTGGCCTGCCGTACGGGACGGCACCAATGTAGGAGCGGGATGGGAGAACTATAAAGATTCCAAGCAAGACCCGCCTGCCTCTCATTTATTTACTAAAAATTGTATATAACATAATAAGAACTTATTCTAATAAGACTTACAACTAATATGTACAACAATAGCAAAAACCAATCACAATCTTATAAATTACACAACAAATCATATGGGAGCGAACACATTTTCGTCCTGAACGAATATTCCTTAAAAATCTTTAAGAATTTGAACCAAACCATGTTTTTTACCTTTTCTCTAGAATAAATTGAAACAAACTATATTATATATATTATATATATATATATTATATATATATATATATATCACTCATTTAATATATTTATACATATTGGCCCTTGTGGTAGGTTTGAAATGTCTGTATTAGAAATTTTTTTAATATCCAGTGACAGGACAAACATGTCATGCACCTGGTGATAAGCAACACATGCATCCATAACAATTGCAGTGCTGCTCAGAGCTTTAAATTGAAAAGATTTTAGGAGCACTGCCGGTTGCCCTGAGATATAAAGCTGACAAGTCCCATCTGCTTGTAATTTCACCAAGACCCTTCCCAATCGGAATGCTGTAATGCGCACATTACTGCTTGGCGGCAGAAATAGGTAAGCTGGCAGTACTTCCCTGGACAAAGTCACAAGGAGCTCTACTCTAAAGGCCAAACCTACAACGAGCGCCTTTCACTTACGTTAATTTTACAAAACTATAGAACATAGTAGTGTTTAACCCTGGCAAAATCATAGTGGAATTGGAAGGAGCCGCTATAAACAAATTGGAGTATGTAATACTCCACGAGAACCTCACGCTCGAATAAGAAAATTGTTTTCAATAACACACACCTGATCTGAAAGAAATTTCCTGTGCAAAGTATACCAGACTGATGTCTACAACTATCAGTTTGTAAAGGTCGTATTCTAGAACTCTACTCAATGCTCGAGTCAGGATTTGAGTATGGTTTAAAACACTCGATATCATACTCAAGTACCTGCCATTAGGGTCGTATTTCCAGTGTTTGTGTTTCCATTGCAATCCTGACTTGAGCATTGAGTAGAGTTCTAGAATACGACCCTTAGTTTCTTAATGTTGAGCCACCAAAAAAGGAATTTTAGTACCTACATATGGATATGGTCCACATTTATTTCATGTAATATTCAAATGTACCGATTTGACTGATTTGTAATAAGCTAATAAAAGATTAACTACTCTTACAAAAAATGAAGTCGATAATTTCTTCTTCAAAATTGCTCGCGAGAAAATGGTAAAATTGACAAAAAAGTTGCCAAAAATCTGTGATAGATGGCCAATGCCACAAAAAAATGATTTGTGTCCAAGTTACCAGTGCAAATAGTCTGTGATATGCATTGACTTATAAATAAATGGACGACGGGTCTAATACAAAAACCACGAAAAAAATGTCCCAAGTCAACCTATTCGAAATTTAAATTGTAATGTCATCGCAGTATCGCGCTGTCAGTAGAACAAATGAAGACTAAAGCGGAGTGTCGCGCTCTGTATACGATTTTAGCGCCTTACAAGTGCGGACACTTTTTAGCGCGGACCCAACGTCCATATAATTGTAAGTCAATGGTGATATGTTATTAATTAACTAAATTTTTTGTTATGGCTTAACTTCTTGCCTTTTGACCATGCCAGTATACAAAATAAAGTCCTCTGAACTTTCGTCACGTCACAAATCTACGGCACCATTCGGCTTCTATTAACTCTATTAAGACTTCTGTTGTTTATTTTGATATAATAATACACGGAATATATTTTATTCAATTACATAACACATAACCTCTAAGACTTCAAAATGGAATATCTTTAATTTCTGACTTCTCAGAATAGACACCCAAAAATAAAATTTGTTCAGAAATGTCAACTCTATATTTTCACATATTTTTCATAAACAGATGCATACATTTTATCAACAAAAATTTATATGGGCGTTTGCCATTGTCCTTTCCTAGATTGATCCTACCGGGAATCGAACCCGGGATCTCCTCGTCCAGCACCCACAGTGCAAACCGTCCGTTCAACAAGGTCTATGTTTGTGCAATGTAATGACAGATACATCTTTTTAACGCGTTTATATATTCCGGCACGAGTACAGGGCATTAAGAGGGCATTACGATTTATTGTATTTCTTCAACATTCTGTGATTCGTGTAGTAGAAAAATCATACAAGACAAACGGAACATAAAAATCTCATACCACAATGAATTTCAGAACTACGCAATGTTTCTTATTATTTACAGTGCAATACTAAGGTTTATAGACAAAAATAGGTACTTACATCGATAGAAAAGCATTTGACAAGCATTTCAGTGTATAATTCGACTGAATTTTCGTTATTATATTCGATCAGCATGCTTTTCACAGCACCGTGGTTTAAACACAAATTACACGTCCCCAAAAGGGGTAACGACTCCACCATTATCTGTGTATCCATCTTGGATAGTTTAATAATTGATCGAAATCATGAAATCCTACATGGAAGCATGATTTTAGCTAAAAATAAGAAAAAAAACTATGTTTTTCACAAATTATGGAAGGAATGACAAAGAAATTTGACGTTTCGGTTTTTTGTAACTGTGTAATCGCTGCAAAAGTACAGAAAGAGACAACTTTCGTACAGAACTTTTCCATCCTCTAAGTAGAAAACAGAATGCAGTTGTTTTTGTGTTTATTTTGAATGTAAGAGAAACGCATCCGTTAAAGTTATCGGTTACAGTTATCGGTATATTATCGAGAAATGGCGGGTTTTAGTAGTTACATTTTTTACATGAATTAATTTTTAGTTTATGTATATGACGTTGTGTCTTTCTTGATTATTTGTTACCATTAAGCTGATGGCTCTGAAGCCAATGCTTTATAAACAAATAATAATAATCTATTATCGAAAATGAATTAAAAAATGGCGGGTTTTTGTAGTTAGTTTTTTCACAAATTAATTTTTAGTTTAATTATTATTGCGTTTTGAGTTTTTTGTGTGTTGCTTGTTTAAGCTGATGGCTCTATAATCAATGCTCAACAACTAAATAATAATAATCGAAAATGAAATATCAGTATTCTAGACCATGTGTTTCATCAGTAATAATAACACCTTACGGTGTTATGGGCACTATTCGTTAACGAATTTGTCAACCATCTAGAAAACATGTTGGCATTAAATGAATAATAATAATATATGCCACTTTATACGACTGTTTTCGAATTCCGGAAATGGATTTACTGCATCGTAGGACAAAACTAATGACCTAGAAAGTCGAAGTTGGATTTTAAAGTGCCATGCAAAAAAATGCAGTAGATACTGACTGTTTACCAAAGCAGAGAATAAAAAGTAACGACAATGGTCACTTCCCGCCCCTCCTTAGCTTTAGATACCCCACCATGAACGCCAACAAGGCTGTCAGCGAGTCATTCGCGAAGGACAACATGGTGATGTTTAGTGTTTAATAGTACATTATTGCAGAGGCCGGGAAGTAAGGGATTGCTGGACAAGTATGAGTTACAAGGACGAGCGCCAGCGAGATTTTGTATTATTACGAGTCAAGCAATCACCGTTCCCGCCCAGGCATGTATAGAATTTTTCTCAAACAATGCGAGGAAATAATAAAAGACTAAAGAAAGGAAATTGTATAATAGAAACAGTAAAAAAATATTAATTAACATTAAAATTCTTACAATTGATAAAAGAAAATGTTATTGCTTTTCCAGACACATTAATACTAGGCTGCTGAACTTCTAATGATGTGTTTGAACGTATAATCTAATACTGTATTTTCGTTATTGCTCTTCTCAATAGCACTCATTTTTGCGACCAAAATACAAAAAAGACAGCAAAGCAAAGGAATACCAATACACTTTTTGAGTTAATACACTATTATAATAACAGTGAGATATATAAGATAATTGATGGAGACATGATGGAGACCCAATAAATCTTTAAAAATTGGTATAGTATAGTAAGTTCATCTAAGTACTCATTCTACGCAGATAGTAAGGGTTAGTTTTCTATGAGCAGTACATAAAAAACTCGCAAGTATTTATTTTTTTTATTCCATAATAACTTGTAAAAACTCACAGTTACCGGTTTTGGTAAACCTACCACTTTTAAAATAAAACAATAATTTCTGCAGAGTCTTTATTATTAACAATTGAAATAATGAAAGATAATTATTTAAAATTTCACAAAAGTATAAAAAGGTACACTTAGCAATCAAGCTAAACAAACTCACTTTTGTAACTAAGATCTAATTGATTACGTCCCATTTAGTAGCAAACTTGTTAATCGATATATCATCCGGTTTTTTTATGTAACTGTGAGATAGTCGCCACCAAAAAAATATTTTCAAAATAGTTTTCTATGATAAATTTAATCTGTCTGTGACTAGGATAGAAAAGGGAGTACTTCGAAGGTTTGGTCAAATGGAAAGGATGAATGTTAGTAGAACTACAACTTAAGTTTAAATAGCTAACGTCGAGAGAAACAACCAAAGACGTCCTTGAAAAAAAAAACAGACAGGTCAAAAGTATCAAAAACAAATGGGTCTGTATGGGTCTGTATGAAAAATTAACTCGAGTGAAGGAAACAAAAAAGAATGTTGAGAATATAGCAGGTGGAGGACTATAGTCTATGCCTATGCCTTACATTTGCGTTTTCGGCCATAACACAGGTATGGTAACTATTGGGATATTTTAAATTCTGTTTGTCGCCAGTGGCAAGAACAAATCTTTTTAGCCCATTTCGCACTTGACAACTAATATTATTAATTAGTATTATCTCAAAATTTGCTTTATATTGTATTTTGGCTCAAAATTACGTTACATTAATAATTTATCTCCAAAATTTCGCTATATTTGTAAGTCATTCGTATACGATTTAATTTCAAAATGACAGAACAACACTGTCGCTTTGAAATTAAATAACTAATATTAATATAACTTATAGCTATTTTGTGATAATACTATGTTAGTTGTTGTGTGCGATTTGTTATATGGGTGTTTTTTCTTTTGTCGCCAGTCGCAGAGGAACAAGGCCAATGACGACTAGGAATAAGCTGGGAAATTGCTTTGGTTTGAGAACAGCATACTTTTCAGAAATAAGTTATTCTTGGCTTTTAAACTTCGTGCTGATCACATTCACTTAAATAAGTTTTATCGTATAGAATAAAATATTATAATAAAAATTAATAGCAGAATTTCCGCAATGTCAATTTTGTAACAATTACGAATATATGCTAGATTTGATGGAATGTGACCACTGTGTCGTTATAATAAGCCAATTTCAATTAAGGGATATAATATTATGGCAGGTTGGGTGTTAAAAGTTGTACTAAGTAACCCATTGGCGAAGAGGGCTAAAACGTGGCTAAAACTCCTTTCCTCTAAGCGCAAGTGAAGTAAACGAGGCTATTACTTGCCAAAAACATGATGGGCATTTATTCCATTTCGAATCGCGTGCGAGTGCAATAAATTCCCTGGCGCCCTCTAGAAGTAGAGGGCGCCAGGGTATTGATTGCACCCGGGCGCCAAATAAGCTAGCGACGACAGCGTTGCGTATCACATTGCAAACATATTAAACATGTTTCCTAGTGAATGGCTCTCTTAAAATTAAAACTTAAAATTCAAGATCGTATCGTATGTATTATTTTTGTTAATTTTTATACTCGGCGTGTATGTTAACTAGTGACGAGCAAATGTTCCATGTTATCGATATCGAATTGAAGTTCATTTTGCCTCTATAATCTTTTGCTTCAGCACCGACAGTTTGTGATGGGTGGCATTTTATTTGACAAAATAATGTAGGTAATGGAAGATTCTGTAAAAAAGGAAATTAGTATCTAGATTATGAAAGAATGGTCGTGGAACAGAAATAAAATGCCAGTTTATGTCTACATAAGGATACATTTATAAATGAAAAATTCATATTTATTTGACACAGAAATAGAGTTTTTATTATGCAAGGCTGCTAACTTGTTGTTTGACGCGAGTGCTTGAATTGAAACCTAAGCAAGCGAAGGAGTGTGAGAGTCGTATTCCAGAACTCTAATCAATGCTCAAGTCAGTACTTGAGTATGATTTCAAGTACTGGAAGTACGACCCTAATGGCAAGGATTTGAGTATGATTTCTAGTGCTTTAAATCATAGTCAAGTCCTGACTTGAGCATTGAGTAGAGTTCTGGAATACGACCCTAACATTGAATCACGAGCGAATCGAGTGGTTCAAAAATAAAATCCTGAGCGTAGCGAGGGTTTCTAGGCACGAGACGCAAAATAATTTTGCCGCCGAGTGAAACTTACAACTTTTCACATCACTATAGTGAGAACAATGGTAGATGAAACAAAAAAAGTTGAACTATAACAGATCAGTTTAGTTCTTCGACAAATTAAAGTAATTTAATAAACAAAACTAGTTAGCGTTGTCAATTTATAGTCAACAATAATAAGAATAAATTATACCAACATATTTATATAACATAAATTAAGTCCACACGCCAGCACATCAAGCTACACATTGACATATCGTGTTCCGTTGCACTGGAGGCGATTTTCGAACAAAAATGTGTAGTCTGATGTGCCGTTGTCCGTACGACAAATCGCGAACGTATCATTACTTTTTTTTTTCATCGGAAGAAAAAGTTAGGTGCACCATAGTTCATCGTCAGTTTCGAATTTCTAAAATCTTTTCCACGCTTTCGCCCCCAGATTTCTAGTGAGAAAGAAAGTCTTTCCGAGCTAGTGAGGTGAAAAATATTTTAAACACTCAGCCACAGATTACTTAGTAGTTACTACGTAACAGATACTCTTACAAAATACGTGGTCACTCTCATACAAAATACGTGGGTCATCCAGAAAATAAGTTCCATTTTGGTCTATAGGTCGCTAGGGTTTTTTTTTCCAAATCTGGTAATATTGTATGAAAGAGAGAAACCTTCTGAATGAGAGGTGAAGGGATGGAATAGCCCTAAAACACGGTCATAGCAAGTCGTTGCAATGGAGCCCTTGACGTCGCGTCGCGTCCCGGGTTGTACAAGGATTGTAATGTAGTGCGCTTGCACTCGACAACCTCAAGCGAATGGAGGAGCCCTGATCGAGCGAAAACGGTTCAATTCCATAAATAAATAAATAAATAAATAAATAATGGCGCACGCGACACGCGTTGTGCAACTCGAATACACCGCGATTGTTATGCGAGCGCTCGGCAGACGTGCACAAGACACGCTGTTACGTTTGTGTGAAGTTACACTACTTGACTTAATAATAGTTACAATGCTTATTTGCGTACTTGCATTACTAATGCTATTTTTCCTAAACGCGGCCACAATAGGTATAAACATACCTAACCGTTATATTTCGTATTATGGTTTTTATTACACTAACCGCAGAATTTTTACTTGGCTATGACCGCTTGTTTAGCTCGTAGGCGTGCCTGATTTCGATGCCCTTTCACGCCGTGTCCGTAGTTATAGCCTGCAACTGTGGGTAGATACAATTTTGATAAAACCACCGAACATGTAAAACACAAATAACGGTGGTAAAGCGAGCTCATTTTTCTTTATATTTTTTATTTATATTTTTATTGGCAAATAGATTGACAGATGAAGGCGGACGAAGTATACACAGATAGCTATAGATAAGTAGAAGAAGTATAACCGAACTTTTTGTTTATCTTTGAGAGTGTGTAAGTGTGAAACTTAGAGGATGGAAAAAAGTGTGAAACGGTGTTTGGTGTGTCAACGACAAATCAAGAAAAATAAAGGAAAAATATCTGCAAAAATATTTCTTTTTCTGAAAAATATGATTTTGTCAAGATGGTAATTTTTCATGACCCAACACTATGATAAAAAATAAAATAATACTTGTTTTCCTTTAATTTACATTCAAAGAGGCTTTTTGTTATCCTTTATCCAGAGTTACTTACGATTTACGAAACAAAATGTCACAGTTTCCAAATTTTGTCCTTGTGAGATTAAAAGAAAATAAATTCAGATTTGCTCATTTAATGCGATTTTAACCAGTATTTATTATCAAATCGTTATAAATTTGAAGTTAAATGCAATATAATGGAGATGTTACCTTTAAATGGGTTAAACTCAGCTCAGTTAACGAATATTTGTCGTTGTTGTTTGACGAAAGGTTATTGCTATAAAGAAATCTCGACGGAATACTATAATTGTGGACAAAAAGAGGTGTACGAAGACATGTTAAGGCAGACTTTTGATATTCAGGTACAGTTTTAGTCATAAATATATTTGCTTTTACTTGGACCAATGTGATGGACTGCATAATCTTTCGTCTTGGTTGAGAACTGCTCGCAACATTGCAACCGTATCCACCGTATAAAGGTGAATGAAAGTGTTGTAAGAGTGGGTAAGTTAGCGATGGGTGAGTCGAGTTATTTAACTCGATTAACTCGAGTTACTCCTATAACGAGTCAAGTCGAGTTACTTTTTCATGAACTCGAGCTAACTCGGTTGACCTGCCCCGCCCGCCGCCGAACCGAATACTTCATTCATACAACGCGTCGGTGACCTTCAGAGCATGCTCGAGTCGCGAGTCAAGTCATTTAACTCGAGTTACTCCAACAACGAGTCAACTCGAGCTACACTTTGTGAACTCGAGATAGCTCGGTCGGCTCGGTGACTTACGGTCACGCTCGAGGCGCGGTCGGCCGGCCGATCGTGTCCAACTCAATGAATCATCAGTTTGAGTTCTACTTGTGACTTGCGGTTGCTCTGTCAAACACCGAGTTGAGTTAACTCGAGTTAGCAGTCAAGTCAACTCGAGTTGAAACAAATACAACTCGTCATAAAAAAACATCAATGTTTGTTTGTACTGTACTGGTGATCCGAGCGGAAGCAAAACATATAATACAGTCTTACTACAAAAATGTTTAAGCAGTTGTTTACCAGATGTTTAGAAAAAGTCGTACCATAAATTCACACCTAACCATTGTTTTGGGATGGGCAGGGGTTGGACATTGTTTAAAATTAAACCACTGCCAGATGTTAGTTTAACAAGTGTATCAGCCATTGCTACAGATCACTAATACTCAAGGGTCATCGCAAGCTACCGTTTACTGTTGCATTTTATTTCTCTTTTCGTTTATTTGTGGTGATAATTAAGGATAACTTGAATTTTATTAATTCTATTGACATAGACGATGTGGATTATGTGGATATATTTTGAGACAGAATACATCGCCAGCGAATGAATCCATTTAAGTATTATGATGAAGAGAAATTTCGAAAATGGTATAGATTCAGTAAAATCTTCAGATCATGATTGACATGACAGAAAGTTTCGATTTTGTGGAATATAGACATCGACGAATGGAGAGAACATAGGTGCCTTCTTCATAAATAGGAAATATTCTAAATTTCTTTTTCGATCATCAATACTTCAATTAGTAACTTGTATCTTACATCCGGGTGACACAATTCTTTAGTTTGGTAGTTTAATTTTAATTTCTACTCATCCTCCCATAATTTCGGTGCTCTCTCTTTAACTTCATTGTTTGTCTGTAAAATAGTAGTTTTTGGTTTAATCTGAAATAAACAGGCAGACTTGTAGTAAATTATGTGCAAACATAAAATGAGATATTTACGAATCACTCTCTCAACTTTGTGTTTTTTACTTTCTCCTATCTGTGGCATTTTTTGTTTTTATGCATTGATATTGACAACAAGGCGTTTGGGTAGTACTTTAATTGCCATTGCGGAATATTTAGGAATCATTATTTTAAATTCTGAGATAAAAATCTGTAACTAAAAAAATAGTACAACTGCATTACCTCATCATTTATTTAGTAAAAAATACTTAGTCAACAAATGCTGCTTTATCTATTCTGTTCAACTGAGTCCTAATTGAGAACTGAGAGCTACTCGTAATTACCACTTACTACAATGGGTAGCAATATTTGACTATTTATGATGTGGTCTTAGAGTGCATTGATATGCAATTTCTGTGTAATCAAACCACGTATTACATTTTAGAGAGGAATTAATTGGACCATGTTATTTTATTATTCATTCACAGATATCCCATTTCAAAAGCATGGATCTCAGTCAAAATCTTATATGTGAGAGCTGTATAACAAACCTCCAACAAGCACATGCTTTCAAACTAACAGTATTGAGAAGTGAAGAAATGATTATAAAATATTTCAAGGAAATACAGAGAAATCAGGACTGTGAAGGTATATAAATATTTAAAACTAGTATTGCCCATGTATGAGGCTCAATGTACATCACTGCGCAACAAATTGGAAGCGAAGTTTTGTAACCGTAGGATAATGAAGTTTATTTATCCATTGCATAAAGTATAAACTAGATACGAGCTAAAAAACACTTTGCCCGTCATCTTGAAAATCGCACTGTCTTGGAAATAGTTTATAAGTTTTACAATTGACATTAAGTTAAGTATGTAATTACGTTACAAAAATTCGCTTTTGTTCCGTTCTGCGGCAATGCTAATTGAGCCTTACTTGCTCTTTTTTGGGGATGGAATTCGAGATCAAAAATGTATATAAAGGTAGTGCAAATGCGAAAAGGTATAAGAAAATAATAGGGTTTTGATATTTTGCTTAAATTCTGTGTTATAATGTACAAAGACAATATTATCGAAACAAGACAGTGGAAATAACATCTTGCGGTACCATGTCCTTGTGAATTCGTCACCTCAGAGTGTATTACTTTACATTACGCCAAGCAGTAATGTGAGCATTTGCAGGGAACGGATGCTGGTGACATTACAGGCACGTGGGATTTGTCAATTTATGTCTCTGAGTGACGGGCATGGGCCTAGTGGCAGTGCCCCTAAGACCTTTGCGATTAAAAGCTTAGAGTGGCGCTGCAACTGAGCACGACTTGTTCGTCCCGTTACTTGGTATTATTAAAAAAATATCTGTATGTGATATACACTGTGTTGATTTGCATTGTCGCCATATTTAAGAAATTAATAATAGAAATAATGCTAAATTATCTAAAAATATTTAAAAAAATATTCTGTTCAATACTCTGGCTAATTGTATCTATTAAAGTATTGCAAAATTGTCTCAAGTCGTATGCACCACACAAGGGCAGTGACCCCGCCACCAGCTTCACCGAGTGATACGTAATCTTTCTCGATCGCTTATTAACCTATTTTTTAAATTATGATTATGTATTAGTCTCGTTATAATTTACTATTTATTTACATTAATTAGACAAATTTACTGAAAAAGTTTTTTGTAACTTAGTTTTGGTGCTTACCAACTTTAGGTTACGTGAAAGTATTGCTGGAAGTACCTAGCTCCAGCAATACTTTCACGTAACCACCACCGGAGCCACCACCAGCTATGCAGGGTTTCGCACGTGAGTTTCGCTTCAACATTAGACTCCACAACTTAGAAAGCAGAAACTTCGACACTCGTATCCTCCGCGTAAACTAAACCTTTCAATTGTACTTGATGGATTACCATGCAGGCTCTGGTAAACCTGGTAGCGGTTCTTTTTTGCTCCACTAACTCTTACGTAAGTTAGTAATCGTTAGAGTCACGAAATGCCACGTGGTTTGGCTTACCAAACCACGTGGCATTTCGTGACAGACTAGAATAGAGTGTATGCGGGATGTCAGCGTGACGTAGACGCAGTACGGGAAGCAAGGTCGACTGATCTACCAATCGCGCGCTCGGTACGACGCTCTCCCGTCGTCGCTAACCGCACCCCACAACCAAATAGATCTAAATCATCAGTCATTGTTCCAAATCTTTGCAAGTGCCGTGCAAGTCCGTGCAAGTCAACCTTTGGATTAAATTTATTTACCGCAATGAAATTAAAAAAAAAAAATTCGATTTATTTTTTTACTGATTTGGATTCACTTTCGGATATAGAATGACCTCTGTAAATATGGCGAGAATGCAAATCAACACATTGTATAATCGTTGTGTTATAATTATTAGTATAATGCTTGTTGGGAGCTCTACCGGGTGTTGCAGCCGTAGGATATAATACTTCAGATACTTTTGCGGGTCTGGGCACAGTAACTCACTGAAAGTTTTATCTCAATCGGGTAAATAATAAAGACTATATTTCTTAATTTCAGACACGAAAACGTACTCAGAACTGAATGAGGTAACAATAAAACGAGAATTCGTGCACGAGGAGGAACAAAA